TTGCTGTCATAGCAACAGGTCCGTAAGCTTAAACCTGCTCTGGAGCAGGTTTATTTCATGTAAACAGGATTAGATCGCATCTATTTAAGCAGAACTGATACTTAAAATCTGTATGCTACCACCGCTACTTTATTACAAGTGTATCCTACTGATCCAGGGACAATAATTTAAAATAATAATCATTTAAAAATTAATTTAAAGATAGTATAATAATGTTGTGTAGTCTTTAATACTATAGACACAGCCGGTTTTACTCAATGAAAGATTTATTCGTCATAAAATGATTACTTCATAATTGTATTCGAGTCTTACACACATGCTATACAGATAATGTAGAGTCGTGCATTAATTTGAGTGGTGACAGCTATTATGGGAGTGGCTTGATGGAACGCAGGAGATGCAGATAAGGTGATCTTGACCCTTAAGAAACTTTAATTAATGCTGTCACATAACAAATCTGTTCAAATATAAAATTAAATGAATTGCTAATTGCTGCATTGAAATAAAAATGTAAAGCCTGTACAAAAATTTGAATATCGTGAATATAAATAGGCTAATTGGGAATCATGTAAAACATTTTAATAAAATAAAAACACATTTCATTTATCTATTATAACATTTATGTAGTTTTGTTCGCTTGGCTGTTTCCTTATAAAAGTCCAGAAATGTCGCTGCATTGCTGATCGTGGTTTAGAGTATCGATACATAGCCCCTTTTAAACCAACCCATGAACGCGCAATTATCTCAGATAACTCAATCCAGCCATACTAATCATCAACAACAGGTGCGTTCGAAGAACCGAGCCAGATCCTGATTAGCACGATGATATCATCTTGGATGTGTCATTTGATCTTGGATGTAATAAGCGACGTACGAAGAACGGGCCCCTGGTCTCACAGTCTGACTAGCTGAAAAGTGTCTAGAATCAACAGACCATCCCAACCAAACTGGTAAATCAGCTAAACCGTCGTTGTGGTTGTCGACGCACTAACCACAAGGCTATTGGCGCCAACCGCCTTTTAGTTTTTAACATATTTTCCTCTTCTTTTTTTCTTTCAGCGCTGTCAACATGTCTAAGGCCACTGTTAAGAAGCTGCACTGGCGCTCGAAAGTGCAGGAGAGCTTCGTCCCACTGGGCGGAGCCTCGAGAGAGCTTGGTGTGGCCATTGGAGGGGGTGCAGATTATGGAGAGTTCCCATTTGTTACAGCAGCACCTGGGGGTGGAGCCACTGTTGGTGACATCATCCTAGAGATCGGTGGTACACCTGTCCTGGGATTGACCTTGGGAGATGTGCGAGGGGTTCTGAACTCATGTCCACATCCCATTCGGATCAAAACAGTATTACCAGGTACTCTATTTATCGATAAGAGCAAATTGACTGGTGCGTGATTAGGTACTGTAAGTTGGAGAACTACTTTGCATTGGATAAGAGAAGGTTAATGCAAAAAGAAGAATTCCTGAATATTCTTTTGAACAAGATACAATTTGCAGAATAGAATTAGATCAACTAAATTTTAAATGGAAATTCTGTCATCATTTCCTCAACGTCATGTTGTTTCAAACCTTTATGACTGTCTTCTGTGGAAAAGGAGAATCTTTGAAGAATATTCTGACCTTTTTTATTTAATATAATAAAACTGAAAGGGGACTGAAGCTGTCAAAGAGAAGAGATTCTAAAAAATAGTATAAAATTGGTCCTTAAACTTGTGTGCTATATTCCAAGTCTTTTGAATTAGGAAGAATGAAATCAGTCCAGTTCGAAAAAGATTCTGAACTGATTCAGTGAAAACATCTGACTGAAAAGTTTCATTCATGTTGAACATTGGTATTTCTCACAAACGAGAGATGTCAAGATTTTCAGTTAATATTGACTTTATTTCTATTCTAAAGTTTTTTTTTATTGCTTCAGAACTCTTGGAATGTAGTATAAAAGCGGTATGGACTACTATATTATATTTTTATGGTGTTTTTTATCATTTTGGATAAATATTTTGTCCATTTTGGCCTCAGTCTTCATTTACTTTCATTATTTTGGAAAGTGCGTTCAGGATTTTCTTCAGAAATTCAATTTTTGTGTTCCACAAAAGAAATAAAACAAAGTTTGAGGGTGAATAAATATTGACAGAATGTTCTTTTTAGGTGAAATATTTCTTAGACTAAAGTGTTTTATCTCCTTGGAGGCTTCTTTCTGAAAATGGAGATAAGGGATATCAGTAACTTTCCAGTTAATGGGTCACATCTGCAGGTTGAATCTGTGACCTTTTCATTACTAGCCCAGGTCTTTCCTCACAAGGCTGCTACACTCCCCATTATGTTATTTTGGGAGGTTTTATCTGCATTTTGTTGCACTTATTAAATTAAATATTTGGGTTGTGTGAGAGCTTCATACCTACTGACAATATACAGCCCGAGTAGATCACTTGTGACATGTCACCCGTTAGTGTCATTCTGCCTGAGGATTGTATTATCCTAATCTAACCTGCCTGAATACGTCAGTTCAAGATACTCCATGAGGATTTGATTTACTATATTCATGTCTAGCTTCTACACAAAGAAGTGTTAAGAATTTTTAGTTGTTCTTGACACCATAAATGAATGCTTAATGAAGGCATTCACTCTCTCATATTTGACAACATGTTGTGAACTAACAAGAATGTCAAATTACGCTTTTTTGTGTGAGATACAGCATCATTTGTATAACAAACAATGGTTTTAAAAACTTTTTTATTAATTAAATTACACAACAAAAATATTACTGAAAGGTTTTAGATGTTTTAAGGATTGAATGGTTGAGCATAGCAACTTTGCTGCTTGGTTTAGAAACTAGAATTTTTGGAAGTAGAATAGTTATTTATGGAAATAACAAAAGTAGAAACAAGAGTGGAAAACAATACTTTTTTATTCCTACTGAATTGATGATACACTACAGTTTCAAAGTTTGGGGTCAGTAAGAATTCATTTTACAGTAAGGACATTTATAAAGTTACAAAGTGTTTCTAATAAATGCTGTTCTTTTGAACTTTCTATTAATCAAAAATCCTGTTTTTCATATTGATAATAACAAACGTTTTTTGAGCATGAAAGCAGACATTATTTCTAAGAGATCATGTGACACTGAAGACTGAAATAAAGGCTGCTAATTCAACTGTGCCATCATAGGGGGAAAAATTCATTTTAAAATACACATTTTAACAGTTAAAAAACTAAGTTTTAACAAATTACCAAGTACACAAGTGTCCACCTTCCCACAATTCAGTGTCAGACATTAAGTGGATGTGATATCCCCCACTCTATTACTAGACCTCTCCGGAACTCTCTACCCTGGTCAGCCCGATTGATCACTGTTAGCGTTGGGGGGTGGAGCCCGGCATCGGCGAGTAACAGTGCGGGCAATCCCCATACATAGTGTATAAAGACCATCAATATACTGAATGAAAGGAAGCTGTCTGTCATCTAAGGTCATAATGCACTTTTAAAAAATTAATAAATCGGCGGGAAATGACTCATCCTACCGTCCCCATGAGTCCTTGAGGAGTCCATGTGTTGAGTTTGTGTGCGGAAAAGACCACCAGATTATATTAAGTGCAAAAATCAATACAGAGAAGCCATGCGGGGCGGATAGGTCCTCGTTAGGTGCTCCGCAGTGCTTGTTTGTGACAACAGTGCACTGACTTTAGAGACTTGTCTCTAAGCGTGCGTGTGTGGTATTAGGACTGAATTCAGGGTGAGAGACCGTTTTAACCTTGTCACTTTTAAGGTGTATTTCAGTTTGTTTATTTTTAGGACAGCATCTTTGACAGTTTCACTTCGCCAGTTCACCTTTTTTCTCATATTTCCATGGTGACAGCAGTGTTCTATTTGTGAATTTGGTGAACAGTGCTGTTATTAAAAAGTGGTTTCAGATCTCTCCATCTCATTCTTGCTCATGTGTTCTGTTTGTAATCTGCAGGCTCAACTCTCTGTAAGGATCTGAGACTTTACCTGAGCAAGTGTTTTACACCCGGATCCATGGACAGCCAACTCCAACAGGTCATACGAGAGAACCTCTACCTGCGCGCCGTGCCCTGTAAGTGACGCACACCTACATTATTCAGTAATACAGGGGTCTTTAACACAGGATGTCAAACTAATTTTGGAGAAAAAAGATGAAAATGTGCGTCAAGTGGCCAATAGGTTGTTTGCACATGACGTCACTGATGATGCGCAAAATGCAGCTGGAGGGCAGGAAGTGATTTTTCTCTCCATAGGAATCACTAGCAGAAACTCCAAATGCCAGTGTGTTGTGTTGTTTATGGATGCTTAAATTGGCCAAACCGAGAAACCACAAGGAGCTTTTATCGTGTATGAAAATGTGTTGTTCATAAGTGGGGAAAAGTCAAGAATTTGATTGAAAAAGTGGCTTGTAAACCTGCGTCTGCGGTCGGGAGGAGCGAAGCTCGTGTGGTAATGCTCGCGCGTGCAAATGGTTATTATAGGATATAATAATATATTAAGATATTAATAAAGATATAAATAGATTGGACTGCCACCTCTCACGTATTGTGACAGTCAGAATTTACTCAGTCCTAAATGCCACACGTAGACACGATGTAAATAAGATATTATTTGCAGTTCAGAGAGCTTCACTGATTATAAAGGAACATTGTGAGATTGTGATCAATTGAAGCGAGTGACAGCTTTTTAGTGATTATATGGAAGCACTATTTGCTCGCTTTCTAGGCAGGCTATAATCAATTCAGAATTTGAATAAGTTTTGTTTTTAGGTGCTGCTAACAGGACCAACAGCCACATAACCTGTACATGCAGCAAAGTTTCAGGAGTGACTGAAAAAGAACGGATGAGATACAGGAAAGTCGGTAATGTAGGCTACTGTTTTAGGCATGATGCATTTATATATATATATATAGCGCTTTCATTGAATTGCTGCACCCCCAACGCGCCTTACAATTGTATGAGGGGATCTCTCTTCAACCACCACGCTATTACAAGAGAAAGGTATTGATAATCATAACATGTTGGACGTGATCCTTATGTTATAAAGAGGAGCGATTTTTAAACAAAATTTAAATACTTGCCTGCCATTAAGGTGATGGATATAGACTAAGCAACTAACCCTGATTGTAAACAAGCTATTTCGAGTGAATCCCGTATTTATATGAGTAATGTGGAATATATGTCACTCCTGAAACTTTGCTGCATGCAAGTTACAGGGTATGTGGCGGTTGGTCCTGTTAGCAGCACGTAAAACAACTTCTATTTGAATTCTGAATCAATTATAGCCTGCCTAGAAAGCGAGCAAATAGCACTTTCATCTAACGTTAATCACTAAAAAGCGGTCACTCACTTCAATTTATCGCAATCTCACGATTGCGTGAACTGCAAACAATATCTTATTTACATCGTGTCTATGTGTGGCATTTGGCATTCAGTGAATTCTGACAGTGTCACCCTGTATCTATTTATATATTTCTTTATTCATATTTTAATATATTATGATCATATATTAACCATTTGCACACACGAGCATTATCCGGCTTCGCTCCTCCCGACCGCAGACGCAGGTTTACAAGCCACTTTTTCCAGCATTTTTCATTCAAATTCTTGAATTTTCCCCGCTCATGAGCAACACATTTTTGTACACGATAAAAGCTCCTTGTGGTTTCTCGGTTTGTCCGATTTGAGCATCCATAAACAATGCAAGACACTGGCATTTTGAGTTTCTGCTAGTGATTTCTATGGAGAGAAATCACTTCCTGCCCTCCAGCTGCATTTCGCGCGTCGTCAGAATCACGTGATTGCAAACAACCTATTGTAAAATGTATTAAGTTAATTTGCTGACTGTCTAATGCTTTTTCAAGACAAAAGTACTCACTTCAACTGGTAAACTCTAATCTGACTGAGTACACAACTTTTGGGAGTAAAGGCAAATTAGTGTGTCTAAAAACAAAGTCATGTTTACAAGATACCAGATTGGCACAACAAGTGCTTTTGAGGATAATATAATCGCTGGATTTGTCCCTGTTTGTCATTAAAGGTGCACAAAGGCTTTATTCAGGCTTCAGGGAACTCTGATTTTTTTTAAGTTACACATAGCCAGATATTTCTGTTGAGTCGTGGGTTGTCATATTAATGATGAAATCTTACATACTGTAGGTTCACCATGCGTGAGACTTTAGTGGTAGATACTGTGTTGTATATTATGAAAAAGTATCAAGTAGAAATGAAAAAAAGTAGCTTTAGAAAGAAAAAAATTATTTGATTCAACATAAAATTTATTAAACATAAATGTTTAGACTACAATGGCCTAACATAAATTATGGAACAAAAAAATAAGTTAATATGAGAAACATCTTAGTATTTTTTGTTCATTCGATGAAAGTAATTTTTAACCAAAACAGCTTGGTTACCAACAGTCTTCAAAATACCTTCTTTTATGTTCTGCAAAAGAAAGAAACTCATACAAGTTTGGAATGACATGAGCGTGAGTAAATGATTACAGAATGTTTCATTTTTGGGTGAACTATCCCTTTAATGTCTTTTTTTTAATGAAATGTTAGGCTACTCTAAATAAGAAAGTAAAACTGCCAGTAGGTGGCGGTAAATGTCTTTATGTCTAAGTCATTGAGTCATTCATTCGATTCATTCAAACAGCTGATTCATTCAGGAATGAAGTAAATGGATCTCTTTATGAACAAGCTATTGAATCATTGGTTCATCCGACTCGTTCAAAACGCTAATTCATTCAGAAATTGTGTGTTGCTCAGAGATGCACAACAGTTCTGCTGTGACTTTATAAGTAGTTTTTTCGTGGACAAAATTGAGCAAAAACAGACAAATATAACACAATATTAACTTCTTATTTACTAAACTGTTGTATAAAATCACATTTGCACTAATATTGGTATTTTTCCATAACTAATTCATTAAATTAACACATTAAATTGACAGACCTAATAAAAATAAATGATTTTAATCTGATTTCAACTGTCTACATAAGTGGTTTGGATTAGGCTTGTGAAAATTTCATTTGAATTTTGTGTTTTTTTTTCTTCCTATTCAGGAAATTAAAAAAGTTAAATGAGTGAGCAAGATTATTTTTACAAGCAAAACTCTTATTTTTTTTCTAGTACTATAGAACTATTCTAACTAAAACTATTCATAGAGACCACCGCTCCATTATTTCAATTCATTTTACAATGCAAAATGTACATGACCTCATGCTTTTTAGTCATAGGTCTGGCTACACGAGATTATACAATGTAAAATGACTCGGTGCTGCTTCTCTCCATCCACCAAGGGCTTCTTGACCTGAAAAAGGTTGAAGACCCCTGAAGTAGAACAACTGCAGTGAAAACACAGATGAGAAAGATACTGAAATACATCAGCCAGCAAAGGCATGCATGCAATCTCATGCTTTAATGCTCACAGTGACTGTAAACAAATCCAATTTACAATCACATCAAACCTCATGTGGAGTCAAAGGTTCAGTCACTTTGAGGCAATGCAATGCACTTTAACCATTGCCATGGAAACTGTCATCAAATGTCACAGCAGTGCACTCATTGTGAATGGCACTGTTTAATATTTTGCCTTGGCAACAAAACTGCAACTATATTCAGAAATTATTGCATGCATTTATTAATGTATAGCTCCTGCTGGCCCCTTTAAAACATCAGGCACCCGTTCACCATCACAGCTGGTGCATTTCATCCATCCCGCATGATTCAAATTTCACCTATTTCCTGCTCTTGAATTCCAAAGCTGCACATTTGTCTTTGTCTGCAGCCTGAGGTACCCTGCTGTGCCTTTCAGCGCTCCTGTGCACGCATATACGCATAAACGCGTCAGCACCCAAACACGGACCCATTCACGCATGCTTGCTAATGTACACATAAGCACACTCATTTTTGTGCATCCATTCACATAACGTTTTATCTCTGTTCAGTTACATAGCCTGTCTAGTCGAAATAAAACGGCTTTCCTAAATAACACGTTTATTCATCACATCATTATTTTGACACCATAAAGCAGCTAATTTTACTGTCACTTCTCTGAATTGATTGCAGGCAGTTAGAAGACTGTGAACTGTAAGATACTCCTCTTTTCTGTTCTTTTTAAGATAAAATAGCACAGGTGTGTCAAGAACACGGCTATGTTTAACCAGGTGCTGAACATCATGCTAAATGGTTATCATGGGGTTGCATTGGGGCTTTTAGAGACAACATAAAGTCAGCATTATTTACTTTTCTAAAACATGTTCCTGGTCTTATTTTGTGTAATTCATCAGTACATGTTATTCCCAAAGAAAAAGAAAAAAAGTTTCCTCGAAATATTTCATCAAGATGTAATAACTTGCTCAACTGTCCTTTCCAGCTGACATCACAGATCACTATATTTCAACCCCAACCACCTGGCTCTGTTCTGAAAATTTACGCCTGCTTTTCACAATCCAATCAGTTCCTGGTGGATACATTTTTATTTCCTGTTAAATGTCCAGCTTAACTCAGAAATCTCACGTTACAGATGTAAAAAGTCCTCAGGGTCAAAAATCCTTAATGTCTCAATCTACACATTCATTAGAGATTAATTTCAGAGTGAATGAATTTGAGTTTGAGTGTTTGAGTGTGTTACATTAAAATGCCATTATTTCAAGAGAAAAAAAACACTCATATGCTTTTTGCATGGGCTGTCATGTCATATATGGGCTGTATAATACCTGGGGACAATGCAGTGTTTTGTTATTAATAGATGATTTATTGTATATAGTGGCTGAAGGCTTTTAAGTCATTACAATCCTGCTTGATGTTGAATAACTATTGATAGGCGCACTAACTTATAAACCACATACCTTTTCTCTTCCTGAAGACTTTTGCTTCGCATGCCTTAAAATTATTTACAATAAGACAAATTAAGCTTTAAAATAAGCAAAAACAAATAAATATCAAGATATTTCTTATATTAATTTCAGGATTCCAACGATCTTGTAAAACCTGAATATACGAGAATTTTTTAAATTGTAGACCTGGAAATGAAAAAATTATGTAAATTGATCAAATGATAAAGTGCTGTGGGCATTTGTATAATGAATATAAATTTGTCTAGTCATACCAAGCTCTAAAATAATTTTTTGGGAAGAAATTGTGGGTAAGGTATCTTTAAATCCATGTTAATGCTTATCAATGCTTAAACAACAACAACTGGAAAAATCATGTAAATTCATGGATTAAAAAGAGTGGGATCCCTGAACAGCATTCAGCTCTTAAAACCTGTCCATACAGTAGATTAAAATATGTTTTTTAAACAAGACTAGGGCTAGGGGGCCTTTAAAAATTTGTTGTGTACAATCAGGGGCTTTGGAGTCAAAATGGTTGAGTTCTTCATATTTGTTTATTAAATATTTAGGCTGAATTTATAATTTTTTTCAGCTACCAGTATGAGTTTTTTTCCCCAATTCTATTCCACAGATGTAACCCAAAATTCATATTCAAACAAATTTCATATACAAACATGTGGAACAGATAGGCCTTGTTTTGGATATAGGAGTTATTTACTGCTCAGCTGAGTTTGTTTGCACATGCATTTGAGTTTGTGTGTGCTCGCAAACACATGGTGAGGGTCAGGGCATCACGTCAGAGCTCCAAATGCTCAAGCCAATCAGAATCAAGAGAAGCACCCTCCAGACTGTGGAGAAAAGTGCCGTGCTGGCTCGGTTCTGTCCTCCAACATTATCAGCAGAAAGAACTGAAAAAGAGCCCTAATGGAGAGAAAACAAGCATGTAACGCAGACTGATGGCTGAGCCTGCTGATGTCTTTATTAAGGGTCTCACACACAGCTGCAGATTCACACTATGACATCCTTCAAAGTTGCAGCGCTTGGATTTATGAATATGTTTCCGCTGACTCGTGTTTTTGTTGCCGCTGCACCACTTTCCTTTGTATTTAAAAAAAGGAAAGAAAGATGTTCACCTATTATGTCCATCTCGATCCCACATAAAATCGGTTTTATGGTTTTTATGCAAACCTGTTTTGGGGAACTTAAACAGTAGAAGGGCTGATGATTGATGTAAATGTCATGGTCCAATCACTGACCATGTCAATATCAACCATTTTTACTTTTAGTCCTTTAGATTTTTCCTTATCTTGCCAAAATCTTCTCTATATATACAGTACTGTTCAAATGTTTGGGCTGATAAGATTTGTTTTTCATGCTTTTGAAAGTCTTTTATGCGCACCAAGGCTTTATTGGATCAAAAATGCAATACAAAAAACTATAATATTGTGAAATATTTCTGTGATTTAAAATAACTGTTTTCTATTTAAATATGTTATAAAATGTAATTTATTATTGTGATGGCAAAGCTGAATTAGCTGTAATTACTCCAGTCTTCAGTGTCAAATGATTTATTAAGAAATCATTCTAATATGCTGATTTTGTGATCAAGAAATGTTTCTTATTATTATCAATATTGAAATCAGTTGTGCTGCTTGATTTTTTTTCTGGAAACTGATGCACTTTTTCCCCCCAGGATTCTTCGATGAATAAAAACTTCAAAAGAACAGCATTTATTTAAAATGCTAATATTTCTTCCAACATTATAAATGCCTTTATTGTCACTTTTGATCAATTTAATGCATGTTTGAGTGTGTTACATTAAAATGCCATTATTTCAAGAGAAAAAAAACACTCATATGCTTTTTGCATGGGCTGTCATGTCATATATGGGCTGTATAATACCTGGGGACAATGCAGTGTTTTGTTATTAATAGATGATTTATTGTATATAGTGGCTGAAGGCTTTTAAGTCATTACAATCCTGCTTGATGTTGAATAACTATTGATAGGCGCACTAACTTATAAACCACATACCTTTTCTCTTCCTGAAGACTTTTGCTTCAGAACCATTTGTTATGTTGGCAAGGTCGATTGATCAAAGCGTGCAGGTTTCCTGCTGTATCTTTTCCGCAACACCGGAGAGTTGCAGTGATCAGTTTAGCTTAAAACGGGATGCACTGCTAATCTACCTCAGGAAAATCCACTTTTCTCAACTTTCATTTGAGATGGAAAACTGAGAGGAAGTTGTATAATCTCATCACTGTGGGATTATAGAGCAAGTCTGAAATGTTTGAAATCATAATCAGGCGTCGCCTCACATCGCCAAAGTCATATACAAACAGATACACAGACAGTTTGTTTAATATATGGTTAGTATGTAAACACTGTTACGTAACTGATTTTAACTTCATTTGGCACTCACTCAAACATTAATCTCCACCTTTTTCCATATCAAGGCAATTCAGCTTTCTACAGGTCTTGTATATAAGTGTGACAGCTGTGTCTCTGTTTTCTGTGGTCCTGTAGATCCAAACATCAAATGCATCAAAGCAACTAGCCTCATGGTGATGTCATCAGGACATTTTTTGTTTGTTTGTTTCAAAAAATGCATTCGATTTTTAGCAAAGGTTAGATGCAAGTTTATGAAAAAATAATGATCTTTTAAAATGCCCTGCGTGTTTGTACCACTACTGGCCTTTCTATTTTTTCATTCTCCATTTAAATTGCTTGTTGTCTACTTTTAACAAATTCATACGTTTTTTTTGGTAAGTTAAGCAAAAAGCAAAAGCATTGCAATTTTTTTCTAATTACATTCTTATGTTTTGCTCACCCTGCTTTGACCCAGGTACGACCAGGCAACCACGGGATGGAGAGATCTCAGGGGTGGATTATAACTTTGTGTCCATTGAGGAATTTTTCTCCCTGGAAGAGTCTGGAGCCCTGCTGGAAAGTGGGAAATTCAAAGGTCAGAATCCGTTTCGCCAAACCATTGTTTCACAACCAGGGGATTGGGGGCCACTAGGGGGCTTTGGCAAACTTCCAAGTGAGGCTCAGCATGCCTTAAAATTATTTACAATAAGACAAATTAAGCTTTAAAATAAGCAAAAACAAATAAATATCAAGATATTTCTTATATTAATTTCAGGATTCCAACGATCTTGTAAAACCTGAATATACGAGAATTTTTTAAATTGTAGACCTGGAAATGAAAAAATTATGTAAATTGATCAAATGATAAAGTGCCGTGGGCATTTGTATAATGAATATAAATTTGTCTAGTCATACCAAGCTCTAAAATAATTTTTTGGGAAGAAATTGTGGGTAAGGTATCTTTAAATCCATGTTAATGCTTATCAATGCTTAAACAACAACTGGAAAAATCATGTAAATTCATGGATTAAAAAGAGTGGGATCCCTGAACAGCATTCAGCTCTTAAAACCTGTCCATACAGTAGATTAAAATATGTTTTTTAAACAAGACTAGGGCTAGGGGGCCTTTAAAAATTTGTTGTGTACAATCAGGGGCTTTGGAGTCAAAATGGTTGAGTTCTTCATATTTGTTTATTAAATATTTAGGCTGAATTTATAATTTTTTTCAGCTACCAGTATGAGTTTTTTTCCCCAATTCTATTCCACAGATGTAACCCAAAATTCATATTCAAACAAATTTCATATACAAACATGTGGAACAGATAGGCCTTGTTTTGGATATAGGAGTTATTTACTGCTCAGCTGAGTTTGTTTGCACATGCATTTGAGTTTGTGTGTGCTCGCAAACACATGGTGAGGGTCAGGGCATCACGTCAGAGCTCCAAATGCTCAAGCCAATCAGAATCAAGAGAAGCACCCTCCAGACTGTGGAGAAAAGTGCCGTGCTGGCTCGGTTCTGTCCTCCAACATTATCAGCAGAAAGAGCTGAAAAAGAGCCCTAATGGAGAGAAAACAAGCATGTAACGCAGACTGATGGCTGAGCCTGCTGATGTCTTTATTAAGGGTCTCACACACAGCTGCAGATTCACACTATGACATCCTTCAAAGTTGCAGCGCTTGGATTTATGAATATGTTTCCGCTGACTCGTGTTTTTGTTGCCGCTGCACCACTTTCCTTTGTATTTAAAAAAAGGAAAGAAAGATGTTCACCTATTATGTCCATCTCGATCCCACATAAAATCGGTTTTATGGTTTTTATGCAAACCTGTTTTGGGGGATGGCAAAGCTGAATTGGCTGTAATTACTCCAGTCTTCAGTGTCAAATGATTTATTAAGAAATCATTCTAATATGCTGATTTTGTGATCAAGAAATGTTTCTTATTATTATCAATATTGAAATCAGTTGTGCTGCTTGATTTTTTTTCTGGAAACTGATGCACTTTTTCCCCCCAGGATTCTTCGATGAATAAAAACTTCAAAAGAACAGCATTTATTTAAAATGCTAATATTTCTTCCAACATTATAAATGCCTTTATTGTCACTTTTGATCAATTTAATGCATCCTTGCAGAATAAAATTGGCATTATTTGTTTTAATATGCCTATAATTACAAATTATTAATGACAAAAGTATTTTTAAGGCAAGGCAAGTTTATTTATATAGCACATTTCATACACAATGGTAATTCAAAGTGCTTGACATAAAATGAAGTAAAATATTCATACAAAATAATCACAACAATAAAACAAGGAATTTTAAATGATTAAAAAATTGATTTAAAATGAATTTAAAACAGTTAAAAATAGAAAATGATTATACATAAAATACAGTGCAATCAGTTCGGACGTAGCACAGTGCTCATTCATTAAATGCACAGCTAAACAGATGAATTTTGAGTCTGCATTTAAATGTGACTAATGTTTCAGCACATCTGATCTCTTCTGGAAGCTGATTCCAACTGCGGGCGGCATAATAGCTGAAAGAGGACTCCCCTTGTTTTGTGTGAACCCTTGGTATTTCTAACTGACTCTTGTCAAGGACTGTTTCAGTTAGCACATGTAAAGTATTGTGTCTAAAGGCCATTGTTTTTTAATTTTTCTGATTGGAAATTTTTTTCGATTGTGGCTTTATAGAGGCCATTTCTAAAAAATCTCCATCATCACAGGGAACTATTATGGCACACCTCGGCCAGTCCACATCGGTCCTGACAGTCCCCCCATTACATACCAGGAACATCGAAATCTCCTGAGGAACTTCCGTACTCGTAGCAAATCGCTCAGCAACCTGGAAAAGGCAGTGGAGGAAGGTGACAACAGCGAGGAAGACTCTGGTCTTTCAGGTATTCAGCTGTTGGGTCCACCTTTATTTTGAAATTAGCTGAGTTTTTTTCTTAAACAAGTATTTTTAAATGCAAGCAACTTCCTATCTCATGGTACAGTAATATATTTGAGAAACTTTTTCTGTTGAGATTGGGAACTTCTCTTTTTTTTTATCAGGATCTATTACTTATGGTGTACCCCAAGGCACAAATTTGGGTCCTTTTAATTTTTCCTCTATATGTGTTCCCTTTAGGGTCATTTTTTCGAAAAATGAAAAATCTCTTTCCACTGTTACACAGACAATAACATTATCTTCTAAAAGCCCTTGTTAAAACTAATGTAAAACTTAAAGCCTAACATAAGACAAAAGCCAGTGAGAAGTTACTTTGTTGTTGTTTAAATATTGTGTGCTATATATAGTGTGTTGAGTTTTGTGTGACATGCTGAACCTTCCAGCAACTCTGGTTTTGACTTGAATTCACATCACCATTTTGCATTTATTTTAAACCCCCAGTTTTTGAACACAAATGGATGTCTTCTCAACCAGGACATGCTTGCATTTTTTAATGTTTTTGACAATAAAAACTATGGAATTGTATTTAGGATTGATGCCTTTCTCATATTAGAGCTGGCAAGAGGAGCATAACATGAACAGCGTGACCTCTCGCTGGCCTGAGGTTGCTTAGATTATACAAGACGGCTACATCTCATGTCATGTTCACTGTACTTTGTTTCCCAGCGGGGTCTGCAGGAGCCAGCAGTGCCCCTCCCACCACCATAGTCTCACCTAATCAGACTTGGGATTCAGGCAGTGGGCGGGATGGAGGGGTTGCCATGGAGAACGGAGCACGTGGTGGGGCATTGCCTGAAAACTGGGAGCTGGTGTTCAGTGACACGGGTGAACCCTATTACATCAAGTGAGTCAGCAGGAGGAAAAATAAAAAAATAAGACGGCATTGTGAGAAATAGAGTGAGCAAGAATAGCGACAGAAGATCATTTGCGTCCTCCAGTAATCAAAGATTATACTCAAAGTTGGCGTGATGCCTTTGTATGTCACATTGGATTTTTGACATGCAAAGGCGACGCTTGAACTTTAAGATGTGCATCAATGAGAAATGTTTAATTTAGCGGGTGACGTACAGTTATCATGTTGGAAGTAAATGTGATTATTTAGCATTTTTGATGATGATGAAAATTAAGTTAGCTTATGGGGTTATTTTGTATTTTTGATGCAATTTGTGTATAAAAAAAGGGTGACATTTGAACTTCAAGATGCACGTCAATGAAAAATGCATAATCTTTGCCTTCATCTATGAAAATTAAGTCTGCTTAATAGGGATATTTTGTATTTTTTTATGCAATTTTGTGTAAAATAAGGGTGACATTTTAACTTTAAGATGCACGTCAGAGAAGAATGCATAATTTTTGCCTTTATCTATGAAAATTAAGTCCGCTTAATGTATATTGCTGTAAGAACTGCTGTTGTATTTCATCTTAAAGTTGCTGATGAAACCTTGTGGGGGAAAAAAAGTCTCTCTCATTTAATGTTTTGACAATAAAAACTATGGAATTGTATTTAGGATTGATGCCTTTCTCATATTAGAGCTGGCAAGAGGAGCATAACATGAACATGACCTCTCGCTGGCCTGAGGTTGCTTAGATTATACAAGACGGCTACATCTCATGTCATGTTCACTGTACTTTGTTTCCCAGCGGGGTCTGCAGGAGCCAGCAGTGCCCCTCCCACCACCATAGTCTCACCTAATCAGACTTGGGATTCAGGCAGTGGGCGGGATGGAGGGGTTGCCATGGAGAATGGAGCACGTGGTGGGGCATTGCCTGAAAACTGGGAGCTGGTGTTCAGTGACACGGGTGAACCCTATTACATCAAGTGAGTCAGCAGGAGGAAAAATAAAAAAATAAGACGGCATTGTGAGAAATAGAGTGAGCAAGAATAGAGACAGAAGATCATTTGCGTCCTCCAGTAATCAAAGATTATACTCAAAGTTGGCGTGATGCCTTTGTATGTCACATTGGATTTTTGACATGCAAAGGCGACGCTTGAACTGTAAGATGTGCATCAATGAGAAATGTTTAATTTAGCGGGTGACGTACAGTTATCATGTTGGAAGTAAATGTGATTATTTAGCATTTTTGATGATGATGAAAATTAAGTTCGCTTATGGGGTTATTTTGTATTTTTGATGCAATTTGTGTATAAAAAAAGGGTGACATTTGAACTTCAAGATGCACGTCAATGAAAAATGCATAATCTTTGCCTTCATCTATGAAAATTAAGTCTGCTTAATAGGGATATTTTGTATTTTTTTATGCAATTTTGTGTAAAATAAGGGTGACATTTTAACTTTAAGATGCACGTCAGAGAAGAATGCATAATTTTTGCCTTTATCTATGAAAATTAAGTCCGCTTAATGTATATTGCTGTAAGAACTGCTGTTGTATTTCATCTTAAAGTTGCTGATGAAACCTTGTGGGGGAAAAAAAGTCTCTCTCATTTTTCAGCCATAACTCAAAGACCACAAGCTGGCTTGACCCAAGGACTCAGGGCAAAGAGATTGTCAGCAAGACGGAGTGTAAGTGTATATGTGTGCACGTGTGTGTGAGCTTGGCTCCTCTCCACTTTTAACCCCCAAACATACTCTCACTCTCTCTGCAGTCTTCACACAAAGAACTGTATTGCACTAACCACACAAAAAAAACTAAAAACAAATTATAGAGGTGATTAGGATCTAAAATTAAAACTTTTAAATTCTAAACTGTTTGCAACATGTTCCAATGGTGGGTGAATTGAGGTACAAATATTTCTTAATGGCCATGTAAAAATACTGTATTATTATTATTATTATTAATATATTATTATTCAGTAAAGCTGTTTCTGTTATTTAAAGAAAAATGACCTTATTTTATGTTAAATTGCTCATGTCTTTCCTCAATAATGACACTTTGCCCAGGCATATTCAGGAAGGCATCAGCTATAAATGAGATGTATATAAAGTAAATTTAATGTTTTCATTAGGCTACTTTTATTCTAATTTCACAATGAGAACAATTAAAAATTTGAATAGAAATTTGGTGAAATAAAAAAAAAATGAATTGAGGATTTTCCTGCATGCCGCATTCATATTACCCTGGCAACACGAGTATTCTCTTTTGGAAACTGCTAAGTGGCTTCTGCTTTTTGCTGCTTCTGTATAAATCTGCAGTACAGGAGATGGCACTTCAACGGTCAGTTCTTTAAATTTTTATAGATTTATGACAGATATAATAATTTAATGACACACATAGATTTGTGCTGGGGGCTCTTAAGGACGTTGTGAATCATATGTGATGTAATGGTACTGCTGACTTTAACATCCTCTTTTTATGCTTAGAAGACAAAAAGCCCCATAGATCTGGATTTAAGTCAGATCATTTATAGATGGCAGAAAAACCAGGGGAGAGAAAAGGATTGAATGGATAAAAGATAGATTTTACCACAGGAGCATGAGCTGTTTGCTTTTCTGCTCTCCCTATCCTTTAATCTATCCCTCCAATCCTCACTTTTATTTTAGGCAGGAAATCCCTTGACACTCTTTCTCTCTCTCTGGATTAGATTAGTGTGTGTGTGTGTGTGTATTTGATGATTTGGAGGGTCTCATGGTTTGAATCTGCTCTTAATCCAGATGGGCCTGTAGGTTTTAATCTGCTTGTCTCTTACACACAACACTGTCCACTCACGTGTACTAACAAACCCCCCCCCACACACACACACTCACTTTTCCTTAAAGGTTAAGTGAGTACCTTTAAAAAATCCCCTGTGTTTGTAATTTTTGTTCCAAAATAAAAGTTTTTATTTTATTTTGGTTTAGTTTAGTTGATAAATTATCTATTAATTATATATTGTATTTTTGACTATAAATATATTGGCTATTGATTTTAGTTATTATTTATTTTCTCATTACCATTTTCAACCCTCTCTGTCCCACAAAACAATGTGTCAAACAAACTCTAGGTCAGACTGTAATGATCAGGGACCTTGTTAAAACAGCCTTCATCCTCCCCTTTCAAACATTAGTTTCAATAAATTGTCTTTTTCGACTGGCAGTAAGTTACAGCAGGTTTTCATTGTACACTGAACTTCTTAAATTTACAAGATTAAGGAAATTTTGGTTCCTCATTATATGACCACTTTAATACTTGTACTCAAAAAGTGAGAATCTGATTGCTTATGATTTCCCACATATGTAAATACAAATGACAGAAATGTTTCTCACTTTGTCTCTCTCTCTCTCTCAGCGGACATCCTAGTGTACATCAATGACTCATGTGTGCTGGGTCTGTCCCATAAAGAAGTGGTAGAAATGCTGAAATCCGTCCCCATGGTTCACAGTGTGGACGTGGTTCTCCGTCGAGGTTACCCCATGCTCTACAGCCCTGATGGCTGCCCCAAAACCAGCCTCTCCTCCCCTTCTGACCCAACCAGCACCAACTCTGCGGCCCCCGGTTCTGCTCAAACCCAGGTCCAACATCCTGATGGACACCACCCTGGCTTGGTGAACCTCAACCTCTCCATGTCCCACCACAACAACTTCTACCCCCGCATGCAGAAAGAGTCCTTGGATGCTAATGAAAACACAGCAAACCAGCCTTCATACCTCATTACCATTTTCAACCCTCTCTGTCCCACAAAACAATGTGTCAAACAAACTCTAGGTCAGACTGTAATGATCAGGGACCTTGTTAAAACAGCCTTCATCCTCCCCTTTCAAACATTAGTTTCAATAAATTGTCTTTTTCGACTGGCAGTAAGTTACAGCAGGTTTTCATTGTACACTGAACTTCTTAAATTTACAAGATTAAGGAAATTTTGGTTCCTCATTATATGACCACTTTAATACTTGTACTCAAAAAGTGAGAATCTGATTGCTTATGATTTCCCACATATGTAAATACAAATGACAGAAATGTTTCTCACTTTGTCTCTCTCTCTCTCAGCGGACATCCTAGTGTACATCAATGACTCATGTGTGCTGGGTCTGTCCCATAAAGAAGTGGTAGAAATGCTGAAATCCGTCCCCATGGTTCACAGTGTGGACGTGGTTCTCCGTCGAGGTTACCCCATGCTCTACAGCCCTGATGGCTGCCCCAAAACCAGCCTCTCCTCCCCTTCTGACCCAACCAGCACCAACTCTGCGGCCCCCGGTTCTGCTCAAACCCAGGTCCAACATCCTGATGGACACCACCCTGGCTTGGTGAACCTCAACCTCTCCATGTCCCACCACAACAACTTCTACCCCCGCATGCAGAAAGAGTCCTTGGATGCTAATGAAAACACAGCAAACCAGCCTTCATACTCAATGGCCAATGGAAATGGAGTGGGAGGGACTTTCGGGATGGGGGCGGTGCCTTCTTCAAATGCCCCTCCTCCATCAAAGAGGATGAGCTCCAGTCATAGCGATACGGAGGTCAGCTCATTTGTCACGCGCAGGTAACCAGAATGACATTTCAGACTGTTTGAGTTATTATCATTTTTATTAATAAATAACCAAGTTCATTCATGATTGTGATCATGGTTGTGATATTATTAATAATAATAATAATAACTGTTATTATTATTATCATTGTTGTTGTTGTTGTTGATAATAATTATCATTAATGAACATGGTGGTAATAATATTAATAAATAATAATAATATTATAACCATGTTTGTTCATGATTATTAATAATAATTATCATTAATAAACTTGTTTGTTATATTATTGTTATTATTGTTATTCTAACCATGTTTATTAATGATGAGGATTATTATTAATAATACATATTATCATTATTGAGCACAGTTAATAATAATAATAATAATAATAATAATATAACCATGTTCAATAGTAATAATAATAATTATTATTATTATAAAGAAGAAGAGGAAGAATATGGTAATAATAATAAATAAAATTAATAAACAGTTATAATTATAATAATAATATCATGACCATGTTCATTATTGATTATTATTATTACAATACTATTATAATTATTATTTTATTGTTATTGATGCTGTTCTTTTTACACAAGCATTTATTTCTTCCACTCTTCATCCAGAGCTTCCCTTGTCCGAAGCTACAACAACAACTCTCTTCCAGCTCCGTCTCACGCCCATCATGGTTCCAAGTCTTCCGAGAGCGATCTCTCCTCTGCTGTGCTCCTGCTGCCACAGCCTGAGGTGGGTCCTACCGCCCCGCCAGGAGCACCCAGCACCCAGCGGCCTCCAATGCCCCAAACATCTCTTGCTGTTGCACCCCCAACCGAGCACCCACCCTGTGGTTTCAACGGGTGTCCAGCCAACAATCCCCCGCGGCCTCTTCCGGGTGGCCTAGGGTCCCCTGGAGCCCCATTTGGGGTAGGCTGCGGGGGAGAGGTTGAGCTGGTACCTGTGGCCTTAGGCAGGAGTGAGGGAGGGGGTATGGGTTTCAGTGTGACAGCTGGGGGGCAGGGAGGGCAACTGGCGGTGGTGAAGAGAGTTTGGGACAGACGACAATGCCACTCCCTACAGCCAAGGGACGCTATTATTAAAATCAATGGTGCTGACGTACAGAGCCTCAGCTTCGCCCAGGTAATTCATTAACTTTTCGGATCTCTTTCTGAAGCTTTTCCCTCATTAAGCTTCCATATTTTAATCCTTGCATATGAACGTTTTCATATGAACAGGTGCAGCGAGTGCTGCAAGAACATACCAAACAGGGTGAGGTGGTCTTACTGGTTTACAGAGGAGGTGAGTGTCCTCCACACCGTCTATGAATAAATCCTTTATAATATTCCATAAAAAAAACATAAGAATTGTCCATTTTTATTTTAAGGTCACTTTACAATTTTGTTTTATTTAATTTAAATAAATGACAAAAAAATTACAAATGCTACACGTGAATTTAGATAACACAACTTTATTATGTTTAGTGTGAAAAATTAATATTCATTGTGAGATTACATTAAAATTGTTGAACATTTGTTATGATTATTTATGAATGTCTTATTGGTATTTTAACAATGTCTATAGCAATTAAGAATAATTGTGCAATTGCATACAAACCATAGATAAAACAAACTGTATATTTTATTTATTTCTTTATATTATTATTATATATCTTTACCTTTATTTATATAGCGCTTTTAACAATACAGATTGTGTCAAAGCTATATATAATATAATATATAATGCAAGTAGCTAACAGCACATTAATTATATATATATATCTGATTAAGTATTTTTATATTTTTTTATGTTTTCTATATAAATAGAAAAACATCATATCAAGAAAATCCTGATACATCCTGCCTCTATCACCCATCATCCTGTTCTCTCTCAGGTTCTCTTTGTTCCCCAGGCTCACCAAATGCCTTTAAGAAACCTCCTCCCTCCTTGGGCACCCCTGATCTGACCTCGCCCTCCTCCAATGCTGCTGTGCCCAGCCAGAGCACCCTCTCTCCCTCCTCGGCATGCGGTGACCTCCCCAACCTGGTCCAAAGCACCAGCTTCCTGGACTCTGTGCCCGTGACCCTGACCCTAGAGCCCCGGGACTGGATAGGAGTCGAGGACGGACCTGCTCAGTGGAGCCGTACTGCTCCCTCTAATCTCGGCGCAGTATCCAAAAGCCATGTAGACACAAGGGGAGCGATCTCTTCCAGAGCGATGGAGGTGGAGTTGAGACGGAGACCAGGAGAAGGATTCGGGTTTGTCATCGCATCCCAGGATGTGATGAATGGAAGTAAGTACAGACTGGGCATAACCTGCATTTATGATTTCTGGCCACTGGATGTGACCTTGTGACCTTTGTTTTATCTCTGGAATTTGGTTAGAATTTTGGTTATTCTGGAATTTGGAAGCCAAAAATGAACATTTTATACATAATACAATATAATTTTTTATCAAAACCAGGGTTCTGGAAATATATATCCTACTTTCTGTCTGCATAAAGTAATTATCACAGAGTAAGAGAGTATATAATACTGCTTTGTTCCATGTTTAGAGGCCAGGTGAATCGTGAAAAAATATTTTCAAGAAAAAGGGCATTTTACCCCTTTAAGCATGTTGGTCATCTGTGTCATGTCATTATGCAATAAGCACGTGCACACAAAAAATCCCTAATTAGCTGACTAATTATGATTTCTTTCACTTGATTTGAGGCTTTGCTGATTTGAGGCTTTCATTCTATTTTTGAAGACGTTTCCAGTTGTTTTTAATAAGTCATAAATGTACATGTATGATTTGTACCTCACTACTCTAAGCATTGAGGGGTAAAGTTCGTACTATAAATGTTAGATAAGTTAAAGTCCAAATGAGGTTATGGTTTGTGTCCAGCAGTTCTTGTATTTGTGAAACAACAAATGGAACAGTTTCTTAAGTGGGCAGTTTTTCCTGTTTTCTTTTCTTTCTTTTTTTTTTTCTTGTGCATTGCCCTTTGTTCAGTTGTTTAGTAGTTCAGTACTTGTTCACTTGTTGTTTCTTCTGTAACACAGAGATTTGCAAGAATGAACCATTGACCTTTGGATGTTTATGATTTTGTTACATTTTCTATAAGTTTACGTAAACAGTACTTCATAGAACCAAATGTTTACGTAAAAGTTTCTAGACAGTGCATCAGACATAAAAATTCAATGCATTCTTTAAATTAAGCGTATCTGACATAAACATTTCAGTGCATCCTTGCTGAATACAATTATTAATTTCTATATGAAAAAAATCTTAGCCCAAACTTTTTAACAGTAGTGTGTGTGTGTGTGTGTGTGTTGTTAGACATCCCAATATATGGTTTAAATATCACACACTTTTCTTCAGAGAGGATTCAGTAGAGTATTAAATCATTCTTATTTGCTTTCACTCACCATCCCTCCCTCCCTCCCTCCCTCTCTCTCTCTCGCTCTCTGCAGTCTTTCACCCTCTCCCCCTCTCTCTTTTCCTCAGTTCAGTTTTGTCAGTGCAAGCGTCCTAAGTGTCTCTGCTCTAAGGGGGAAAAACACCTGAACAGTTCTTCTTTTTTCAATTTCCTCACTGTTTTGTAATATTATATGTAGATTAAAGTCTCAGTGTCAGGAATTCTCTGGATTTGAAGCTGGATTGAAGCTGGATCAGGACAACATGCTGGAAAGGCTTCAGTCTGCCCTGAAAACGGTGAAGGACGTGAAACGTAAATACTGTCTTACCTCTTATGGACTCTTATAATATCTGTATTCTGCTTAATTATTGACCTTGGTATTGTTTACTTTACAAACAAATGAATTATCTGCAGCTGTATCAAGTTTAGTGGTCATTTAGTGGATTTTAAACATTTCCTGGAACGTATGTTTCCTAAAGCTTTGTGATTTGTTTGTTTGACCTGAGATAGGGTGTATTCAGGTGCATGGGGAATAGTTTGTTCATGTCACAAAGAACAGGATGTATGTTTTGCGTGTGTTGCATTGTATCCGTAGCCTTTGAACTCTCCAGGATAGTTTTTCTGAAGTGCTCTCCTTCTGATTATATCTCGGTACTTTTCATGCTTCAGAGCGTCCTGGAGCTGGGGTTCACCTGGGCTCTCACGTGCCTGAAATATTTCCAGCTGTGATGTGTTGGACCGGTGAACAAAGAATCATCCACACTGTAGAAGGGTCCAAATTTCTGTTTATAGTGTTCAATAGCAATGAACAGAAAAAAAAAATCTTTGAAGCATAATGAAAAATATCATTCACATTTACAAAAAAGTGTCAAAAAATACCATGACACTACTGTTTTTTGTTGTTGTTTTTTTTTTTTGCACATGGAACCATAGTATCACCATATTTTTGGCCATAGCTGTCTCTTCATCACAAAAACTTCCCTGGTAGTACCATGGTACAATGATGTGCCATAGTATTTATGTGGTACTAGCTGGTGTTTTCAGCAATACCCTGGTACTGCCATGGTACAATGGTGCATGTTGAAAATACTTCATAAATTTGTGTGAAAATGCTTGGTAAATAATGTTTAACAGTGCCTTGATATCCTTTGGACATGGTATCATTGTATTACCATGTTTTTTTTCCATTGCAAAAAAGTACTGTGGTATTATTATGGTACAATGGCGGTATCACATGGCAATACTATAGTATTTCAAAATTAAGGTACTACAATTCCCATGAATATAGTATCTCTATATTTTATATTTTTTGTCTTTTACATTGTTACTGTTATGAGCAGCTCGCCCTGAATATCTTATCGTGTGTGTGAGATCATCTACATGAGGTCATTTGTAGGGAATGTGCAGTGTGTGTGGAACAGAGAAAGTAAGAAACACTGCATGCTCGTTCCAGTTGTGCTCAATATAAGACTGTCTGTATCGTATCTGTATCCTCTCTTTGTGCAATATCCTTAAGGCGTCGTCTTATGCCTGTTTCCATTTTTCAGAGGAGCAAGTTGTTCTAGGGTCAGCTGATGCTGCTTTGTGAAGCTTAGCCGTGTTACCAGTCATCGCAAGCTGTGGATCATTGGTTGAGCATATTTTCTCAATGTCATGTGAGGTTTTGCATTGTTCATTTTTACATATTTACATGCCAGGACTAATAAGCTGGATAAGATTAAATATTAAACAGATGGTTGGTTTTGCATCTTTATCCCCAAAGGATGCAAGCATGCTTGTATGTGTATGTTTGAGCGTTTATGATGCATTTTGTTTTGTTGGACATGTGTTGTGGATCTCTTTAGAAAGGATGTGTGAAATCAGTTAGTACAGTGCTGGATAAGGCTGTGTCAGATAATGAATCATTTGATGTTGTTTACAGCAGTGTTGGGATTGGTTGTTTCTGCAAGGTCAGCCTGATGTAAAAGGAGTGTTGTGGGTCTGATGCTTAGTCACCATTAGCTTTAATGCTGTGATCTGCATCTGTGTGTTTCAGCTCCGTGATGTGTACCTGTATGTTTTTTGCTCACAGTGTTTTTAAAGATAGAAAAGTTTTAATACGCGCTTGGTCACTTGTTGTTAAGCAGATATTTTTATCACATGAGGATGAGTAAATTGTGTCAGAATTTTATGGATGAACAGTTTTTTTTAATGAAAATTTTTATTAATCCAGGCACATGTGACACAAATTGTGCTCTATTACTGTTGCTTTTCGTTCATTCACTGGTCATGTACTCATTAAATAATTTACTCGCTTGTCACTCAAGGGTATTGTCAGTGCATTAAGTATACAAATGTTAGAAAATGAGGGAGTAATCGTAGTTTTGAGGTTAAGGACCTTGGGTTGTTAAACAGTGGTTCCATAAACTGGACAAAGATTCAGAAACAGACTAAATGTCTATATTAATTTCTGAAATTTTAAATTTCTAAACTGCTAAAAGTACAATTTTAATGTTGGGGTGATTTTATTATAAGCATAACTAAAGCTGAAGTGTGTAATTTTAAATGGAATAACAAAAAAGTACAGACTGCTTTAAAATATATTTCCTCAAATACTCCCCCTCTCTGCCATTGGCTGGCTGATCAGATAGCCGCGCCCCCCAACTCACACTATTGGATAAAATGTTGTCAGGTTGGTTGAAACATTGTTTTGAAAACACTTATTTAGGAAATCAACATAGTAAAGTTTAATTAAAGCTGAAGTCTGTCATTTCAGAAATTTAAAAAATACTGTTGGTGTGACTGTTTTTGATTTCTTCAAATACTTCCCCTCTCTGCCATTGGCTGGCTGATCAGATAGCCCTGCTCCAAGCCAACAACACTACTGGTTGAACTCTTGTCAGGCTGATTGGAATGTTCAAACAAACAGAACAATGTTTTGAAAGTATTTTTCTGTATATGCATCTGCATAAGAAATGGAACATAAACAATTAACATAAAGACTCTTCAGCTTTAATAATAACAATAACAACACAAGCCCATAGGAGTTCACCAAAAGTCAAGTAAGCATGCGTGTTTTTCTGACATGCGACAAAAGGTCATAATCTTGGCATGAGTTCTTCTGTTCTCTACTCTGCATGAGGAGTTTTGTTAGAGCGCTGCAGCCATTCACTCTCGACCCCCGCCTGAACTCTGCTTCCACAACACGCAAAACCTCTGTCCTTCCCGCCGAACCTGTGGTGTGTGTAAAACTAGGCTAAAACTCTCACACGGCTCATTGGCTCCAGAGGAAATCAGCCTGGCTCATGACTAAAAGTGGAGGTGAAAATAAACAAGGTGTTGTTTAAAAGTTCTATTCCACACGTTTAAATAGTAGTTAAAGTTTCACCAATGCTTGGTGTTGAATTGTTGCAGTATTAGAATTATTGAAAATCTTTTTGTGTTCAAAATCAATATCTAATAATTTTATGCTCTATTACTATTAGTTACATAGTTAGTATATATATATATATATATATATATATATATATAGTTAGTATATATATATATTAGGGTTGGGCCGATAGACGATGCCATCGTGGATTTCTAGGATTATGGGAAGTGTTTGATAACAGTTATGCAACAAACACCATATACCTTTATGAAGCCAAAATACTCTGATGTTCAGTAACTACAAATCCCAAAGAGCATTTCTCTTTCTTTCAGACAGCTGGGTCACTAACAGCTGTACCGCTCTATTCATCCCTGTTATATATATTTTTATCTCTGATTTCATGAGGGAGACTTTCATGAAATTACATAAACCCTCTGTACCATGTTTATTAAATGCATCCTCCCTATAAACACAATAACAATTTGAATGTGTTTGCTCCGTGTCCATTTCTATAAATAACCCATAGAACAATATGCTCATTAACAAAGATGTTTTACACACTATGAATAATGCATTAATATTTTATGAATATTAGACTCATGAATAATGTAGGTTTGGTAATAATTGGCAGCACTTAACAATGTGGTATGTGGGAGAACATTCTCGTCCAGCACAACACACTTCACATAACACTGAACACACTCTCACCTGGGCTTTACTGATTCTCTACACACACAGGATTATTTCATTAAACAAAAGATCACAATTTATTCAGCCAACCAGTATTCTCATTTTCCAATTTGTGGATCTGTTACTGTGATCAGAAACAGAATTAGCTGAATTTTTCTACCACTTTTTGAAAAAATGAAAGGGGGAAATTTTAACATGCATTTAAAAATTTACATTTCCATTTCATTTCGAATATTAAACACCACATCACACATATTTTACATGAAAAGGTTTCTGTGTAGCTTGTTCCTCTGTCTCCTGTATGTTTGATCTTGTCATATGTTGTGATTTCTCTCTGAAGTTCTTAGGAAAGTGCATACAGATCAGATACTCTGTTAGTAGTTGATCTGAAGTGCTGGTTAAACTAGTTTGTAAGTTATGCAGTCCTGTTATGTTAATCCAAGAGCTCAGTAAGATCATAGAGGTGTTCTCAGACTTACAGTTGAGGAAGCTTCAGGACTTTCTGTATAGATCTAAAAAGGGCTTTCATGTTGTGAGGAAGTGTTTCTTGGCTTATGCTTGAAAGACACAGCAGAGTGTCAATTAGGAGAGCATTTCTAACATATGTTTTTTTCTTTTATGACATGCTGATACAGTATATTTATTCAGATCTGCTGCCCACTGCATCAGGGAAACACTATTCCTTTGTTTGTGTCATTCATTTCCTATTAATATACAATCAGAGCTTGTGCACCTTTGTGGTTCTGCAGTTCCCTCAACAAAGTGGGAGGCTAAAATGCATAGAATCCCAGTTGACATACTGTATGTTGAAGTACAAAAGGTTTGTACATACAGCTTCAAGCCTGTACACTTGAAAAGGTGCTCTAAGCTATCACCTTTGACCTAGATTGCATATGGGACCATTTAAAGGGCTAACATGAACTATTTCAGGCCTGTTCTGCGCTGTTGGCGCTTTCCCCATACAAGTGCACAATCAATACAAACAGGTCAATTCACTGGCCAATACTGTCCAGTGGCAGTGCTAAGTGTGTTTGGGAATGTCTCTGTAGCTTCCCTGCTAAACGATATGCCACAGGAGCTGAGGAACCATTAGATTAGGAAATGTTGACAAATAAAACTGTGAGCTGTGCCCACCAAAGGCTATATTAATTTGATCAAACATATATTAAAAACACTAATATTGTGAAATATTAATACAATTAAAAAAAAAAATGTATTCCCAAGTGGCAACGCTGAATTTTCAGCAGCCATTACGCCAGTCTTCAGTGTCACATGATCCTTCAGAAATCATTTACGTAAATTAAGGAAAATTTGTTCTGCTCATGTTTGATAAATAACAGCTCTTGTCTGTGGAAAAACATGCTCCTCTCTTCTTCTATTCTTAATCATGTCCTTTTAGCCTCTTTCTTTTTTTGGGGGGTGGGGGGTGGTCTTGTTTCTCTTTTATGAAAACTTGCATGTCAGTCTAAATTTGGTGTGTTTATGTGCCTTTCATTCTCACATCATTGCAGAACCATCTCCCAACAAAGATGTATATGGAGCAGAATGCTTAAAGCAACAGAGCAGTATTTCAGTCTGCTGTCTGATGTTTTATGTCTCTCTCTTCTTTCTTTAATTGACTGTCTCTGTGTAACATGATGGCAAGCGCTCAGGGTAATTGTACGCAGGTCTTTGAGATTACAATCTTGGCAACCAACCTCTTGTTTGGCCAAGAGTGAAAGGCTGAATAATGTGGACAGACGAGGTTGGAGTGGAACAAAACACATCATACTCAAAGTGTCTTTGGCAAACAGTAGGCTACACAGGGTGAGTACAGACCCATCAAAGGACAACAACAGTGAAACTTAGGACACACTGAGGAGAAGACGATAATTAAACAAACACAGGTGTACAATAAACATGATTGATGCATAGGATTTCTATGTCAAGATGGCTCCACCTTGTAACTAGCAGGTGGAACAGTTTATTCTAGTGAGTTATAGCAGGTTTGTTCTTTCTGAGAGGATTTTTGCTTTGGAAACTCCTTTGTGAAATGTGAAAATGTGTGGAACAATGCTTTTTTCCCCTCTAGTGTTATGGAGAACGTCAAAATAAACTTTTAAATGAACAATGGCACACACAATGTATTCTTTTCATGTAGAGGTGTGAGTCCTAGTTGTGTCTTGGTAGATATGGATTTCAATCATTCTTTCCTATGGAATTCAGAACACACAATATTCAGTGTTTAAAGAGACAGTTCATCAAAAAAATAAAAACTTTGTCACTATTTACTCGCCCTCATGTTATTTCAATTTTTCTTTTCTATGGAACCTTTTTTTATTTTTTTAGGAATGTGGTAGTTTTGTGTGAGGAACAGATTAAACATGAAGTAATTGTTCTGAAATGAAAGTCAAAATGTTCATTTTTGAGTGGGAAGAAATAGTTCACTCCAAAAAAAAAAAAAGTAATAATTTGCTCATCCTTATGACTTTCAAAACTGATTGCGATTTTTGGGTGAACTGTTTCTTTTAAGAGCTTCAGCGTGGACTGTGAGTTGTGCTGTAATGTAACTGCTGAAGCTTTGAGATTTGCATAACTTTGCACATAATCAATTCAGTAATGAAATGAATCGTCATGTGGCTGTCTCTAGGATTGGCAGTAAGGTCACAGAACTTCTGTGGTCCAGAATGTCCCATGGTTATGTAAACATGAAAGTGAGGAGTCTGTTCAGTGTTCTCTCAGCTGTATAACCATCTTTTGATTCAGTGATTCATACAGTCCATTTAGAAATGGGCCCCTTTTTTCATGCATTACCAAATGGAAAAAAAATTTAAGTGACCCATTATAAAGTAGAACGAATTTAGTTTTATTTGCATGGAAGAGAGGTTGAATATCTCTCTTTCTTTCTGTCTCTTTTTTTCTCTTTAGCCTCGTCTCTAGTGTCTCACAGGTTTGTGACGGTGCGACGGGGGAGCCCAGCAGCACGCAGTGGTCAGATTCAGCCGGGGGATCAGCTGGAGGCCGTGGAGGGCAGATCAGTGGTCACGCTGCCTCACAGAGACCTCACACAGATACTGCGTAGAGCCGGCAACACACTCAGACTCATCATTATACCACGCTCTCACACTAGTAAGCACACCGCACTCGTACTATGCTCTTAATTTCACTTTTAAAATTATATTGTGTGTTTTTAAATGGTGGTATGTTTGTTCATACACTACCGTTCAAAAGTTTGGGGTTGGTAAGATTTTTAATGTCTTTGAAAGAGATCGCTTATGCTCATCAAAGCTGCAATTATTTGATCAAAAATACAATCAAAATTATAATATTGTGCAGTATTACAATTTTAAATTACTGTTTTTATTTTAACATATTTAAAATTTTAAAATGTCGTTTATTCCTGTGATGGCAAAGCTGTATTTTCAGCAGCCATTACTCCAGTCTTCACTGTCACATGATCCTTTAGAAATTATTTTTGAAAATCAATGTTGAAAACAGTTGTGCTGCTTAATTTGATTAAAATATGCATATACATATAAAAAATTTTCAGGATTCTTTGATGAATAGAGAGCTCGAAAGATAAACAGCATTTATTTGATATATAAATGTAAAACTCTTCACTGTCATTTTTTATCAATTTACTGCATCCATGCTGAATTAAAGTATTCATTTCTTTCAAAACGTTTGAATGGTTGTTGTGTATATGCATACATATTTGTGTTTATTGTGTATATCTTACATTTTGGTATTTGTTTTGTAAAGTGCCTTGAGAAACTTTCTGTAAATAAAGTTTATTATTAATAATATTATTTATTAATTAACATTTATGTAGTAATTAATAAATAATTAAATCAATTAAAAAATTTTATTCATGTTACTTTTTATGTTATTTTATTTATTATATTCTTTCTGCTAGACCTTTTGGTGTATTTTCAACAGTTTCCACAAGAGAGTGCTCGTGTAAAGACACTAAATAAGTGGTCTTTTTTAATTAATTTTTTTCAGACAATAATCTTCCTGAGTACCCTGACTTTGATGCTGAGAGTCGGTTAAGAAAAGGGCATCGTGCCAAGCAAAAGGTGAGACTACATACATTCATACAGAAATGCACACATATATTTAAATGGGTTGTGGAATCATTTTGTTCCATAGACTTTTTTTTACAATCAACCTCAAAACTTTAGGTTCAAATTCACACATATGTGTAGGGAAAGTGCATCTCTGTAACTGGCCACCATTTTTGAACACATTGTTTATTTTAAATGCTCCTACAGTGTGATCATATTATTATTATAATTACTATTTAATATAAGAGGTCCTATGAGCTGCATGAGTGTAGCATGTTATCTGCAACTTTCCAGTATTTCATACCCTACACCACATAAAGTTGCTTATGAAAATGTCTCTCTCTCTCGACAGGATTCCCAGTATTATAGCGTTGATCTTGAGAGGGGGCCAACAGGGTTTGGTTTTAGTTTGCGAGGTGGAAGCGAGTATAACATGGGTCTGTATGTGCTCGGTCTGATGGAGGGTGGACCAGCCTCACGCAGTCAGAAAATACAGGTTAGTTTACACACATACACAAACTATCACACATGCATTAATTTCATTTTATTGGGACACCAGTGAATACAACATTTCACTTAATTCTGTTAGGGATGTTTGAAAGTGTGACTAGGAGCAGTACTGAGTCATGTTGTGAAAATTATGCTGAGGCATGCTGGGATTAGATTCTGTTGTTGACATTACGCTGAGTCACAGAAGGTTTTGCTGACTCATATTGCAGGTGAGTGATCAGCTCGTGGAGATTAACGGAGACAACACATCTGGAATGACACACAGCCAGGCCGTGGAGCAGATCCGAAAGGGAGGAGCCCGGATACACCTTATACTGAAGAAAGGCAATGGATACGTTCCAGATTATGGTGAGGGGAGACAGAGTAATGGATAGGAATAGAGGGTTTGAGAAATTTAGGTTTTGATATGAGTAATGATCGACAGATGCCTGGAAATATTTTTACAAAAGTTCTGCTTTCCTCTGAAAGTTACCAGGTTTATATCTGTAGATCAGATTTTTCTAGTCAGGGCCATGGGTGGGTAAGAGGATATTTGGAGCTCATATGTTAAAATGATACATCCTCCCATGAAAACTTAGTGGAAAAACAAGGTTATGACAGACATTCAGGGCTTTTCCAAAAGCATTCAGGATATAAGCTCCATCCTTTGGTGCCCCCCGTGGTCAGACTAAAGCTTCTTACCTGTACTTTTTGCAACTCTGCATTGTTTTTTTTTTCTCTTTATTTAATTCTTTCTCTTGCTGTCTTTCACTACTTCATACTTTCGCTCTCTTTCTCTCTCTTGAACTCTCGTCCAGTGGAGCTTTCCAGCTTATCTCTTTGTATGACTAACTCGAAGCAGGGCGAGCCTTGCTTCTATGTCATCGGCCGGACAGAAAATATGCGGTTGGTAACAGTTCCTCGTTCCTGTTGGTTGTCATTTTGTCTTTCTTAATGTTCACTTCGAGATCTCACAGTTGTCATACTCCCTTCAACATTCTGCATATATATATATATATATATATTGTTTCACTGACAATGTAGTTTAGTCAAGCACTCAGAAAAGCAGCAAACACATTTCTCGCCCACCGCCTCCATCACAGACCTTTACTGAGGCTGAGCTTCCATGGAATAACCCCTTACTGATCTGAACAGTTATTAGTACATCACATGGTTGTGCTCTCATTCATCCACCCACTTCTCCATCATCCAACCCTTATCTGACACCTTGTTTTGTAGTTGTTTTTTATAGATAATGTTTTATCATTCAGCTGTCTCTTTCTCCTCCTCAGACCGTGAAGCTGGAGCCGTTTCCCCCTCCTCCCTCTTTTCCAAAGAGCCACGTATGGCTACAGTGGATCGCTCTCCTTTGAGGAGCAGCAGATGGGTGGATGACAGTGGACAAGAGAGGAGAGAGAGGAGGGGGAAGGAAAGGAGGGAATCAGGGGGAAGGAGCAGAGGAAGAGGAACGGAGGAAAGCAAGTGGGGCTGGGCGGAAGATGGTAGTATGGCTGGTAGCTCCCGGTCGGCAGGAAGAAGGAGAGAGCAACAGATGCGTTCACGGAGTTTACCCGGCACGCTGAGGAGCTGAGAGGGGCCACGGAGAGAAGAGGATGAGGACAACACACGGGGGGGAAGGAAGGGAGAAGAGGAACAACGACAAGAAAGGCAAAAAAGTAATAGCGTTGGAGAGAGAAGAGGAAAAGTGAAGGATGTTAGTTCAGAGAGAGAGAATGGTCTCCCAACACACCGAGAGAAAGAGAGAGGAAGTGTCAGAAGAGAAAAGAGTGATCACAATAGAACCAGCACAATGGAGGTCACACAGCACACACCTTTCTCCTTCCTCATGCCTTTGGACAATGACGATGATGGATCGGGCGCAGAATCGGCTCACAGCTTCTCTGAAGTCAGTGTGTCTGCAGCCAGCATCGCATTCTCGGGGACACAGTGGCCCCTGGATGCCATCAGCCCTCTACAGGCTCCTGGATCTCCGACAACACCCCCGGGACCCTGGCTAGTCCCCAGCCCTCACAAACTCTCTCAGGTTTTAGAGGGGAAAAGGCTGAGCCAGAATAAGGGAGGACTGTGGTCCTAATGCTATCTCTTTAAAGGGATAGTTCACCTAAAAACTCAACCTCATGACGTTCCAATTCAGTATGACTATTTATAAGAATTTATTTATAAGAATTGTGGTAGTTGCACTTTTTCACATGAATGAATGGGTACTGAAGCTTTTAAGATTAAAAAAAGATGCAAAAGCACCAAAAATGCTTTATACAACTTGTATACTATATTCCAAGTCTTAAGTCAATTTTTGTGACTGATCAAGTGATTAAAAAAAAGGATTTATTTATGAATCTGTGCTACTTCTCTCATGAAATAACATGGCAAAGAGAGCTAGATTTTAGTGAATAAAGGTGCTGTCTTATTTACCATTGTTCAGCTATTTTTTGCAATTTTAGCTATTTTCATCATTTTAATAGGAATCCACACCATCTGGAATTTCATGTAAGATTTCCCAATGTGTATTTCGCAACGACTTCAGTTGATCATGTGAATTTGCTACGTTTACCAACAAAAACCTGCTTGGTGTTAAAGTGAATTTTGTGTGAGCTGTGGTTCATACAAAGCTACACTATTGACAATTTACAATAGACCATTTTTGCTTGCAAAATTGCGCTAATGTGATTGCACTTTAAAAGGATAGTCCACCCAAAAATTATGACAACATTTTCTTTTTTGGGTGGACTGTGCCAAACAACTGAGATCGTGATCTGTTCTTCACACAATACTATCACATATCATATTGACTTTTAATAACATTTGAATGTAATTTAGTTCTTAAGCCAAATGAACCAATTTTATGATTGATATTCACCTTCATGATCCTTTAATGATGCTTTTGCATCCTTTTCTTTAAAATTTCTCCTTGTGTGTTTCATGGAAGAAAATAGTCATACAGGTTTGGAACGTATTGAGTATTACAAAATGATGACAGATTTGTACTCTTTTGGGGGTAAACTATCTCTTTAACTTTCTCTCACACACACACACTCTGTCATCCAGCCTCTCCTGCTCTATCTCTATATCTGTGGTTTTCAATACACTACCACCATCCCATCCGTCCCTTTTCTGTCTCAAATTCATATCTATATAATACTAGAATTGTTGTATTGGAATCATTCAGACACCGCATAGTTCTTTCATCCAGGCCGATCAACACTTGATTTTATCGCCATCCAATGGCCAAGGAGAGAAAATGAGCAAATGCTGCCATTACTGTGTGGCTAGCATGATAGTAGCTGCAAGGTCAGTTAGTATGCATCTATGATTCATGGTGTCCTTCATAGCATGTGTCTGTTTTTCATATCATTTTTTATTTTGCATCTTTTCTATGTATTTTCTTAAGAATGTAACAAAAATTCTATTATAAAAAGGAAGATTTATTTAAGGCTGCTGAGCCGTGCCCCTGAAGAGCTACATATCTGAAAGTAAACTAGATCGAAAACAGATCTTCAGGAGCAGGACTAAGTGATTTAAGAGATTTTATTAGCTGCTTGCTGTTTGTGACTGGACTGTAACCCCTCCTCTGCTGTGTGTGCAGTGGTCTTGCTGTTGAAAGAGGGGGGAAGGAAGAAAACAGAACTAAAATGTTATTATAAGGCCAGTGAGCCGTATCAAACCTCTCCAGGTGCCTTCTGCTTCTTTAGCCAGTGTTTACCAAAAAAAAAAAAAAGAGAGAGAAACAAATACAACTAAAAGACCATAAGACGTAGCATAGTAGAAAGTGTGCAACACAATACTGTTCTGCCTCTTTAACATCTATATCTTTGCAAGACTTGGTTCACAAGTTGGGGGAAGTATTCTGCACACGCTCTGCTAAACTTCAGCTAAATGAGTCAAAGTGAAAGAGAGCCATTACAAGTGCCTCATGCGATATTCCTTTATACGAGACATAGACTTCCCTCAAGCTCAAAATCAGGACCCAGTTTTAATTTTTTTCCATTGTGATACTTTATTTTTGCGTTTGTATGCTTTCCGATTAAATATTTCAGACCCATTTCATTGCCCTTGACATTCTGAAAAATCGCGAAAATGAGAAAACGAAGGCTTGTTCGGGCCTCATCCCCAAGCCCTCCTCCAATCAGCATCGAGCATCATGCGGAATCTTCATTTCAGGAGACAAAAATAAAAACAAGAAAAACCAAGAAGGAAAAAGGGCATTTTGATACAGGTCTTCTATGCATTTTGTAAGACTTACTGATCAAAAATTGCGGTAGAATTTTTCTACCTAAGACATGAGATTCGTAATTTTGTGTACTGTTGAAATACACAGGCAGGTTGGTGAATCAAAACCGAAAATTTAAAGGAGCTCCGGTGATAATCAGACATGCTGTACCACCAGCTTATGCATTGATCTTTACCTCAGAACTGTCTGAGCAATAAGTGCTATCTCTTTCTGTTCTGTGTCATACCAAGCAAAGCTCTAGGCAAGCTCATCGGAAAGCTGAGTGATAGAAATATGCACAGTAAAATCATCTGTGATAAATTAATTAGAATGAAATGCATCCCTATATACATACATTTGATTTTTTTTAATACTAGCCTATAGTATTTTATCAAGTAGATTTATATGAATTTCAATATTCTAAAGAACAGTATTATAAGTCAGAATTTTATCCTGCAGATTTTAAAAATAGAATCCAATGTGTTTTAATTTATCACTGGAGATCTTTACTGTGCTGTAACATATCAACAAATGCTTACATAGAAGATCACTTGCAAGTTCTGTTGCCATGCGCAGCTTTGTAAGCATTTAGCAATTTGCAATTCGGAAAAGTGATACAACGATCTTACGTGTTAACACTTTAAATCAGGGCTTATACACGAGTATTACACAGCGTTCAGCTGTACATCTGAGGTGTCATCTGAAGTTCACTGCTCTCAGAATCTTCAACCAGCCTGGGTATTGTTGTTGACTTTGTACCTGATTATCCCATGGGCATCAGCACGTGCTGTACAGAAACTGGGATGAGCCTTCTAAATGTTTAGTTTGGGTTTATTTCTGTGAAGGGGAAGATTTAGTTTGTTTTCCAAAACATTAAATCTGTAGCATTTCCCTTACTGTAGCAAGTCTTATGACAAAACAAGCTTATTGTACATAATTTTTATTTTTTTTTGTAAACTGTATTCTCGATTGCCCCAACGTCTCACATATCAGAAATATACAGCACTGTCGAGTTATCCTGAGACACATGCAGCATTTTAAACCGAGGTGCCCACTGGCTTGACGAGAAGCTTGATATATAAAATGATTCTTAGAATTCAATCTTGCATGTCTGTAGTGAGTATACTAGTTTTAATAGCACTGGCACTTACAATGAAATCAAATATCCCCATGGCATGATACTGTATTCCACAGCCCAGGAGGCCAATCGCAATGTTTTATAGAACATCTTGCCGGTTTCAAATTATTCAAAATGTGGAATCTGATCTGACAGCTTGATTGCCCCCTAGTGCCCACTGTGGCCCTCTTTTATATTCCTCTTCATGACCTCTTCAACAACATATTAAAGGGGTCATATGATGCTATTTTAAAGATCATTATTTTGTGTATTTGGTGTAACAGAGTATGTTGACATGCTTTAATGTTCAAAAAACATTATTTTTCAAATACTGTACATTATTGTAGGTACTCTATGCCCCACCTCTCTCAAACAAGTAATTTTCAACAAAGCCCCCTCCTTTGACAAGCGCAGTCTGCTCTGATTGGCCAGCTGACCCAGTGCATTGTGATTGGCCGAACACCACAAGCACGCGTCGGAAATGTAACACCCCTTACCATAATCGCGAGCTTCAAGCTTTCAAAGTAAATATCAAGACAGTTAATAATGTCTTTAGTTTTACCATCAGTTCAAGCCCGAAAGGGCAACAGAGTTGCATGACAGACACAGTGATGATGCAGTACACAAGCCGCGGTTAAGACAGCTGA